GTTAATACCTTTGGGATGCATTGTATTAAAATGCAATTGTGTATGTATTATTCTGGCATTGTAAGTACCTTCTCTTGTAGGGAGGTGGGATGCTACTGATGCTACTGAAAGAAAGGGTTTTTGGATGAATAGCCTGGTTTTATACTGTCTCAGGACCTGCTTCCTGATCCAGCAAACAGACAGGTCCATGGAGGGGCCCAATCCTTAGTCGGAAGGACTGGACCACAGAGGTCACAGAGGACATTGTGCTTGTTCTGAGCTGAAGCTGTGATAAACTGGTGAGCACAAGGAATCCTGGGAGGGAGGGGAGGGTCTGAAGGACTGGTCCTGCCAAAATCCATGTTAGGAGTAGGGTTAACTCTGGTAAGCTTATTAGCATACATGTAGGTTCTTTTATTGTTTTGTCTGTAATGCTTTTTACCTTAAGAATAAAGTAGACTTATACAGGAAGTGCTGTGTGGCAATTACACCTGTCAACCATCTCTAAAGAGAAAGTCAGCAGGTGCCCCCGGGCAACCTGTCAGTGCTGGGAAATGCACTGTGAAGGCAGGGAACTGTGCAGTCTGGAAACAGCCCAATCAGAAGGGAGAGAGATGGGGGTCTCCACCCAGAAAGGCAACAGATGGGGAGCTGGAAGCCCGAGGGTGGGTGCTCTTGCTGCACAACTGACAGGAGAAAGGCCATGTCCACCGCATGCCCTCAAGCTTTCTTCATCACACCACGCTGCATGACAGATACTGCAGCTACATATGTTGTTTTTAGCAAAAAAAATTCCTTCAATTAAAACTTAACTTGGGGGAGGGAGAAGATTGATCTATTCACTCTTGACCTGGCATCCAGAGCTGATGCTTGTTCTGGCCATTCTGCAGTCCTTGTTTACCTAGAACTCCTCAGCCCACTTTCCTGGGGGTTGTGCTGCTTGTTAACTCCCACAAGTGGGAATATGCAGAGACCACTCAACAACGAAATGAAGGTTACTTACCTGTAACTGGAGTTCTGCAAGAGGAGTCTCTGCATGTTCACACTCCCTGCCCATCTTCCCTGCTTCTTTGGAGTCTCAGGGCAAGAATTTCCAAATTAGTGGAAGGAGCTGAGGGGTGGTTGGGGCCACTCTCCACTTTTACACCATTAGAACCCTCCAGGATCAGAGGAAAAGGGAGGAGAGAGGGGCCACAATGGATACTCCTGTTCAGAAGGTTCCAGAAGTTTGTGGTGCAGGCACCTTGATCCCACAAATGGGAATATGCAGAGGCTCCCTCAAAGAAGTAAGCTTCATTTCTTTCTTCTTTGCGCATGTGTCATTGTGAATCCCACTGTATGTGACTGGCAAGCAGTATCTTCTTCTAGATAGTGGGTACCCTGGCACTGGAACTAAGGGTGCTGGGGGTGCTGCCGTACTCCCTGGCTTGAAGTGCTTTCCATTATATCCTGGGGTTTACAGTTTGGTTCAGTGGCTCTCAGCACCCCCATTATACAAATTGTTCCAGTGCCCCTAAGTGGGTATGAAGTGTATGATCTGTGCTAATCAAATAAAATTAAATAAAAATGAAGTACTGCTCTTCGGAACTTGGCATTTGCCCTGGCTGCATGTCAAGTGCATAATGTTTAAAGAAGGTCAGTGGGATTGTCCATGTAGCTACCTTACAGATCTGTGAGACTGACACATTTCTGACAAATGCCGACTTGCTCGCTTGAGCTCTGGTGAAGTAAGTCTTGACATTCACATATGTGGCTCACCAACCAGCTAGTAACAAGTGGAAATGCATTGTGTAATCCACTTGGAGAGTCCCCGTGGAGAGATCACCTCGCCTTTCAATACACAAAGAAACAGTGAGAGCGCTGCAAGGGCTCACTCCTCTTTAGGTATTAAAATAGAGCTCTGGAAATGTCCAGAGTGAGAATGGCAAATCCTCTTATGGCTTGCATTTCATGAGGAATTCCCTAAGCTTGAAGACGGGATGCCCTCCTCACTAATGCCACAATGGCTGTGGATCTAGCTACATCCATTGTGGATTGCAGGGACATATTTGCCACCAATTGTCCATCTTTTCCAATGTCTTTAAGCTCCTCTCAAGCCTTGAGAGGGAGCTTGTTGATAAATAGCATTGCTCTGTCCCATGTAAGAAACTCTCATTTGTCGAGGAGAGTCTGGCAATTAGCAACCACTCACTGATGTGATATAGAGATAGCAGATCCAATCATTTGGGATTTTATGCATATTCTTGGCCAAATGCAATTTTTCTTGGATGACTGAGACCACTAGAGATTGGGATTAGGGTAAGAATAAAAATACTTGAACCTGGAAAGTGGCACCTGGTATCTTTTCTTGATACATTTTGTTGTTAGTGATACAGTGGCTAGCAGTTGCCACGGAGTTCATGCTGGATCTAGCAATGCCACATTTATGGGGAAGGTGAAGATAGGAAAATGAATAGCTTGTGAGATTTTTCAGATATGACTGAAGTCTGGATCTCCAGTGTGTCTGTGATCCATATCAGGAGCTCTTGGAATGCTTTGAAATCATTCAGCATTGGTATCAATGCTGAGGTGACCACCTTGCCGGTTGATGATGAGGAAAGGTCTTTGAGGGGCAATGCCAGATGCTGATGGATTTGTGCCTACAGGTCCCACTCCTCCTGGTACTCTGGGGTCTGCAGCCTTGCCAGTTAGGCTGCCAGAGAGGGAGATCTTCTGTTTCTTGATGGAGAAGAGTGGCTCCTTCAGGCCTGTGAAGGAGGGCCGTTTATCCCAAGAAGGGCCAGACTGGTATCCCGTATGAATACAGGTGGTTGGAAGGTTGCTGACAGGACCAATACCAGTCCTGATGCAGTGGCTGAGCTCTGAAGAACTCTTACAGTTTTTCAGACTCTTACAGTTCAGTGACCCTAAGGGGGAAACTGGTGAGGTGTGCCCCAGTGATGATGAGTATGTGTCCTCCATAGGCAGTGCCAGTGGGTATAGTGCCGCCACTGGGTAGGGGTGCAGGTGCTTCTGTCAGTACCAGTGCACATCTCAGGGAGGTTGACCATTCTGCAGTCCACAACTGTTCCCCCATAATACCAAGGTAGGAGTTGGCAGTGGGGTCCAGAACCAAGGAATTCTGCTGCACTGTAGTTTGCTCCTTTTCACTCATCTTCAGAGCTGGGAGAGTTTGAGGATTTATCCCTGATGCTTTCCTGTGTGTCTCTACATGAGAGGACACTGAGTTCTTCCTCAAGATCCTGCCTCAGCATTCTAGGTAGCTTCTTTCAGTGACCTGGTCTGATGTCTGAGGTTTTGCTGTCCATGGCCCCAGTTCTGGTCAGTGTTAATGTAGCCAGTGCTGTGGTCAGTGTTGGTGATGGTTCCTCACATGGTGCTGACTTCTCTGCTGAAGCCTTAGGTATCATCTGTCCCCTTGATGGAGCACAAGAAGGTGAAGTTTTGGCTACCATAGTAGTTTGAGCCCAGATCTTCTGACTCCAATGCCACTCTCATGGATTATTGTAAAAGATGGAGTTTGAGTTTCGCATCTCACGATTTTTCGGTTCAAGCAGCAAAAGAAAGGCAAACTAGAATGTGGAATTTACCCTGGCAGAAAAGGCACGTGCTGTACCCATCTTTAAGTGGAATTAGTGCATCACTGGTTGGGCACAGCTGGAAGCCTACAGGTTTTGAACCCACCAAGTTAAGGTCCTTTACAGGGGAGTCGTGTGTGTGCATGTGCGTGTGTGTTTGTGTGTTTTCGTTCGTTCATACAGGAGGGGTTAGACTGAAGAATTTATATCCAGCCAAGAATTATTCAGTCCAAGATGTTGTAAGAGACTGAAGGCTGCTCTGAAGTGTTTCAGAAGTTTAGATGAAGATATAATAATAGAGTTGTCAGCAGATAGGACACCACTAGGTTCTGTCTCATTGCCATGGATGGTCAGAGGAAAATGAGAGACCATCATGGGAGCATGAGGAGGCATAGGATTCATGCACAGCCCCAGTGGACACTGCTAGCAAAAAGAACCTGCTCTTGCGTGCCTGGGGAGCATGCACACCTACAGTGGAATCTACACTGACTCATACTCAAAGAAGAACCAGAGATTATGGTCAGAGTTCTCAGATTTTCATAATCTATTAAAGACAAACATTTGTGCAGCAAATTCAGAATGGACGTATCTGGATACTTACAGATAGTGTCTGCAAAGGACAAGTTGATTTTTGTTATTAGCTCAACATCTACATTTGGCATTTAAGGATTTGCTCTTTCCCATTTTTTTCCAATAGGAAAACTATCATGACCCTTCTAGAAGTGCCACCACAACATTTTTTATTTTTTTTGCCTTTCCATAGGGGGAATGCAAACTACAAAATTTAATTTTAGATTTTTGTTCCATGAGTCTGGTTTTAAAAAATCCATGTGACAGCCCTGTCACTGCATTAGGGTCATAATGTCAGCCCTTCATCCGGAATACCAAAACAGGAATACCAAGATCATTGTCCAATCTATAATTCAACAGAAGGCCACATTTCTACCACAATACTGGCTAGAACTTATACTTAATACAATATTGGGTTACTTTTCCCTATTAGAATGCATAAAGTAAATTCTATTAATTTTACCTGTGGTATTGCAAGCTTCGCAAACAAGCACCAATTTAAATGTAACTTAACTAACATCTTAATTCAGTATTGTGTCTAAAACCTTCCTTATAATTCTATGCACCATGTATTATTTTATGGATCTCTGAGATGCGTAGGAGGAAGAAAACTCAGCCTGGAACCAGTGCTCCACAGTCTACCATCACTACTCTATCTGTAGTACTGAGTGACTTACGCCTTGACTCAGCAACGCAATTAAGCACTTGTTTGTTTTGCTGAATCAGGGCCTTACTGACTAGCCAACCACCCTTAGCCATGTCCATATAGAATCTCTACAGTGGCATTTAACAAGTATTACACATATGATGAAAAATTCTTTTTTGGTAAGACTATACCTTGTGAAAAGTAGTGAATATAATCTTGTTTTATAGTGGTAGATGGATCTCGAGGAGGTAGGGGTGGCTTGTCCAGGAAAAAAGAGTCTCTTCCACCCGCTTCAGGATCGTCATCAGGTATGCTGGCATATAAATTGTCGTCATCAAAGCTGCATGACTTTTCCTTTAAATTATTTTCTTCATCTTTCTTTTCTTCCACTCCATTGACTTCTTCAGCTTCCTCTTCCTTTTCTTCCTCCTTGTCCTCTTCCTTCTTGCCTGATTCCTCCCAGGCTTTCTGTCTGACTCCACACTGGTCTCCTGTGCTCTGTCTGTCTGTTAATGCTAAAGAATGCATTGTTTAATTTAAAATTTGCCAACTGGAAGCATTTTGTGTTTCACCGATTTCCATAAAAGTACCAGCACTGCCAATAAAACTTTTATGAACTAATACCGTGGAACGCTGTTAAATGTATAACTTCAGTGAATGGCTTTTAAAATATTTACCAAATGAACAGTGGAAGCTTTCATTATATCTTGCTACCTCAGAACACAACATATTCATGTATACAATAACATTAGGGCTTTTCAGAGTTATTGGTGGGGTGGTTAGGCAATATGCACTATCCTTTCCCCACAATCTGTATTGCCTGATTTTCAAAGCAGCACAGCACACATGAGTTAGTAAAATATGTTAGAACTCATGCAGCTGTATCACTTATTTTTAATACACTATAGCTTGGCTGCTTATCATTTAACATTATTTAAAATGAAATAAATATTTCCCCTGGGATATGTGGTTTGTAGTGAGCTTTATGGCTAGTGGCCTTTTGACCAAAAATAAGGATATAGTGGAGAAATACATAACAGTAAATTTTCAGCACTATGTACAGCATAAGGATTTAGCTAAAATAACAACTGGAAACCATGTAACTTATTCCCTCCATACCCTTTTAAAATTGTATCCATTTCTGGACATAGACATTATGAAGACCCTCCATTATTTCCAATATTAGAAGCATTTAACTTACATATGTTTCTATTCTTTTGCCAACCCTCTCAATTTTAACCCACAATTTATATGTTAATATATGTTTCACTTAGGGTGCATTTGAGATAGAAGTTTTCCAATAAATTCTTTCTTTTCCATTCCTGGTATTCCAAAAAAATTCTAGAACCCCCCCCAAAATACCTGACTACTTTGTACTGCCTCATGCCTGACAGAAAGATGAGTGCTTCTAAATATAAAAGACAAACCCATCCATCACCATTTTTTCTCTTCGTAAAAAAGGCCAAATTATGGTCCCCTGAGTCAGTGGAATGCGGGTGGGTGGGGAAAACATCCGTAGCATGTGAGAAGTGTGAAAGGAAGCGTTACGTCTCTATAAGACAGAATGCCCCTAGAGGCACCAAGGGAAGTAGAAGGAGAAGCAGCTTTTGTTGCACCTTATTAAAGGATTCTTAGTTGTGAAGGATCTGTTATGAAGATTTGTCCCTAGTGCTGAGTACTTCAGTTCATTTCCTAATTGGACCATCATTTTTATATCCACATCCAGGGCAGGGTAATGTTTGTGTGTCCCACCTAGAGCAGTAAGCACTAACAGTGCTAGCCAGACTTCTAGCCCTTCAAGTCAAATTATGGCTGCCAAGCGTCTAGGTGTGTTGGAGGAAGAGGATCATGATTTAGCCTGTAAGGAGCAACAATCTAATACAGAAAGTGAGACAACTGGGAAGATATCAAGAATCTAGTCAAATACAAATAGAATATGGGATGGCCTTTCTTACACAGTTATCATGGATCTGTGGCATAAGTGTCATTGCTAAATGCAAAAAAACCTGCAGCTCTTCCCTAACTGTCTTAGGCTCCCTTGCAAATCTCAGCCAACATTACTGAAACGTTAAGGGACAGGTCAATGTTTGTACAGATGTGAGAAGAGGAAGCTGAAAAGAGCCTCCCAATTGTGCTTCCATGCAGGATCTAATGACAAATGTAGGCACTGCCCTCCTCTAGCACAAGGGCTGCTCTCTGATAGAGCACAGGAGGGGTGGAGAGAAATGGGTCTGCCACTCTCCACATCAGCCCGCGGATCTGGGTGGCCACCAAGGGGAAAGCATGCTGCACCCCTTGAAAGAGTGTAGCAAAAGGTACGTTCCCCCATGGACCAGTGTTTAAAGGCATGACTGAGCCCTTAGGTCACACAGCTAAATGCTAAAAAGTCAGGAAATCTGCAAGTTAAGGTTGAGCATTTAACCATAACTTTGTCCTCTTGTGTGTGTATACACTCCCCTATAGTCTCTAGATACCACCATTTCTCAGTTAATACAACACAGTATGAAGGACATGGTACCTGAAACCTTTCAGACAATACGACTTACGAGAGGTAATGTGAGCGCCTGAGTTCAGCATGGCCACATAAATTCCATCTTTCTCCTCCTCCTCCTGATCACTGTCTTCATTATCGGTTGTATTAATCTGGAAAGAAGATCAAGCAGAGCACATCTTTTGGTGATATTATCCATAAACACATCAGTGTAATGTGAAAGAAAAGAGCTTTTGCCCTGGGGAAAAAAAGAGTCAAATCCTTTCCTTTCAGTTCTGGGTAAAATGCCCTCATTTCATATTTTGCAGAGGTTCATTTGCCCTCAGTACTAATGCCTACTGATAAATTCCTTAAAATCCTTCTAAGGCGAAAACAGAGGCAGGATAGTAGTAGTGATATATGAATCTAACTCTGTTTACTCTGTATGTGTGTGCGTGCATGTGTGAGAATCAGTTTCCAATTGTGAAGTATGCATGGTGGGTGGATGGAAGGTGTGGACAGTAACAGATGAAAAGAGGGTCTGTGCGGCACTGTGGAGTAGACCAGAATGGTCAGGGTGCAACAATCTTTGGAGGGCTAATTGAAAATAGTAGACCACTGAGTGCATGCTGCGTGTGCACAGGAGACTAGAGGACCGGTCACACAACTGCAGGTATGTTAGCTGGGTCTGCCTTACTATCAAAGCAGAGCTATGTGCTTATTCTATCCTGCTTCTGAAAAAAACATTAAAGCTCTTGATTTTACAGTGTCCAAATTAACCTCAGTTGGAGGAGTTTCAGGCCCAGTGTTTGTAGTAACAATGTCCATAGTCTTTTCACCGTATTTATATAAGCAGGAGGATATATTAACTTCTGCCAATCTCTGACCAGACAAAGCAGAGTAGGATTACAGTCAGTTTTGGTTGTCCTCCACAGAAGAAGCTTGTATTCCTTCAAGGCCTGATTTTCAGTAAGATGTGTATGGAAATATATGTGTCTGTTGCACATACACAAATGTCTGATTAACATGCACACACTGCTGTGTAGGCATCCATCTAGCAATCATTAGTGCACAAAGCAGGACTCTTTAGAGGTATCTAGAGTCTTGCATCTTAAGGAGCTTCACAGTAGCTTGAACTCCCTGGGACCTGTATTACTAGCATGTGCCTAAAGGACACAACAGAGGCCTCAGTAGTCATTGATTAGAGACTTGAATGCTGAAAAGGAATATTAATCCCCTGCATTTGATTTCTGCCTACACAACAAAGTCCCTACCAACTTGAAAGCAGGAATTTAACAGTGTGCTCCATAAATCCTGCAGTTTGCAAGGAATCACTGCAAGCAGATATGCAATCAGCAGAGAGTCTTTGACTGAAGAGCTGGCCTTCTGCTCCTGGGTCTCTCTGCTTAACTTCCCTAGGATTATGCGGGGTTCAGAGTGAAGGCATGGGGTGAACTTCACCCAGTGAGCAGATCAAGAGGCACCAATCTGGGCCATCACTTATCACTGCTGACAGATCTTTGTAAAGTATAGGGAAAAGGGAAAATAAATATGAGAAATTTTGGGTTTCTCTGGGGGAACCAAGAGAGCATCTTTTCCCGCTGCAGGTGTGTATGGCAATCTCAAGAATGTTAGATCCAGTGCCCCGTGTTCCCTACCCCCTCCAAACAGTAAACACAATTTAAGGAATATGTCCAGGTCATCTGTCCCCATGAACAAAGCACTGGCCCTGTATGCTATGTCCATCTAATGTGTTTAGCAGTTTGAGAGTCTTATGCTCTGGCAGAACTTCCCCATTGTTCAATTGGTTCCCCCTAGTTTGGGGACATAGGACATCACTGCACTGATGTCTGACAAAACATGTATACGGAAGCCCTGAAATGAGACTTTTCCAGAATACAAAGTAGCTATAATCTGGGTTAATATGCACAATTTGTGCTAACAGCAGCAATAAACTGCAACCAGGGGGCTCTGACAAGTTCCATGGCCCACTGACCCTGTGATGAGAAACATGAAGCCACGACTTAGAGACATGACTCCTGAGGATCTGTGCAATGTGGGCCTAGAAAGGAGTGGAGTTTTAAAAACACTGAGTTCCCCTTCTGTGATGTTGGAGGCCTGCAAAAGGAAAACACTTCCCAGTTGTTTACCCTTAGCCTTGCAACCAGTAAGCACCTATGGATTCGTATTTAATAGAGAATGCCCAGAGGGAAGGCAGGGAATGGAGCTCTTGGAGTAGCTTTGCTAATTGCCTCTGGGAGATGGAGGGAGCAACCATTAACTCCCGGTACTTATTCATTATGGATCAATTTTTGATGAAGGAAATCCCATGAATCACAGAATGCCTAAATGGGAGATATGATTAATGTAGACTTTTCTATATTTTCAAGAAACCCAAATTCCCTTCAAAGAGGACTGTGGCCATTATATAAGTCTTAGAAGCTCTTCTGACTGATGCAATGAAATTATTGTTTAAGTAAATACATCTTTTTACTTCTCTGGATTTTAGGGGGTGAGTAGCTTGACATAGTGCTGCTTTTCAGGAAAAGTTAACAAGTTTCCTGTAGTTGGGAGACATGGGAAAGCTGAGCAAATTGAGAAAAGTTTTACTTAGATCTGTTTTTCCTAGAAAATTCCCTTTGTAAACCTTGGGTGAAGTCATAGTTCCATTACAGTCAATGGCAAAACTCCCACTGACTTCAATGGGGCCAGGATTTTACTCTATTACTTTAAAGTCTTCGAGGCTGTCCTGATGAAATGGCTTGGCATTTAAGGTCTTTAGGTTCAAAACTGGATAGAATCCTCCAGTGACCTTGGGGAATACAAATATGAGACATA